CTGGCAAGATTCTGTCTAATAGGTGTAAGTTAATAAAGTAACTGAGCTGTTCCTGGATTGTCTTGCTGTGGTTCTTGGGCTGAACCTGATAGCCTGGTATGCAAACCCCGGGCACTTTCTATGAAATGGATGGACTGGGATGTTGAGATAGCTCTCTTGCAGATCAGCAAAGCCAGGGCATTTTCTTTCAGGAGGCACTCTAGAGTGGATCCCAGAGTTTCCATCCAGAATTTTCAGTGTTTGATGTAGCAATTTACTCATTTCAGGTCCAGGATAAAAATGGAATATAAATCTGAGACTCTCTTGCCTCATGGGACCTTTCTTATCACCTATATGCTTAGAAGATGATTTATGGCCTTCAGTGCCAGGCAGTGTTTGGTCAACAAGTGTGACCTGTAACCATATCTGACCAGTTTTAGGACCATTTTGTTTGAAATTATGTGGAGCCATGGATGAACAAGAGGCTAAGATCTTTTATTTGCATTTCTCCTTTTACTGTTAGGGGAAAACATTTCCTCATGTTAAGGTTAAGGTTGGTGTAACTTATTTTGGGCTCTCTTCCCCTCACTTCTGTGGTCCAAGGGTCTGTTTGGGATGCAGTAAGAGCAAAAGAAATAAAGATGGAGCCTCATATCCTTTTGTCATTGTTTTTATTTTTTCTTAGGGAAGATTCTCTTAGTCTTGATTAGGACATCATCTAGGGCCTCTCTTAACAGTTTGCCATCTTTGCACAGTCCCAATATATATGACAATTTTGATTTAGAGTCCATATTCTTCAGCCATTCTGAAATTGGGGATGGGGCTTTCTTCTTCCACAAGAAGCACTATCAGAATCTTCTAGACCTGACTCTGGACTGAGTGGGAGGGAGATAACTCCGCTGTTGGAAAGGACTAGTTGACTACATGTTGAAAAGGCAAAATGGCAAAATGATAATTACAAAAAATATAAATAAAACAAAACCAAAAGCAACCAAGTGACTACAAGAATGCCACATTTCAACATTTTCCTCTGGGTATTGCTTGTTTTTAAGAAATAAAAACAATATTCATAAGTCCAGATGTTTACTAACATCAAAAGTCACACAAGAGGTCTTCACTTAATGCAAGTAACTGTCCCTATGTTCTTATAGTCTTCAAATCTGCTCCAGAAGATTACCCCAATCCTTTACGGCAGATCTAGGAATCACACAGTAGAGAAGCATCTCCTGCCCAAGATTTGAGCAGGGGAAAAGAAAGGATGTAAGTGTTTACTAGATTTCATGGTATTATCATTTAACAATTACCCTGCATATGTTTCCTATCTGAAACAGCATGCGTTTGACACTTATGTGCCAGACAGTATTTGTGGAAAACAAGCATATTTTATTAGTACTGGTTAGAACAAAAACAAAACTGAAAAAAATGTGGAGGAGGAAATTATGGCTTTTGCTAAATTTTACATTTCAAGGTCTTTCATTTAAACTAATGCTGCATTTAGCACAGTTTGGCAAATTAAAATAGAACACATTGCCAAATTTCTTTCTAGTGGCTATGATACAGTAAATTGAATTCAAAATGTATATACGAATAACGGGTTAAACTTATACTCTCTTGCCTGTTGACCTAAGTGCAGCAATTTCAACCTGCTTAGCTCCTTTTATTTCTTATATTTTTCTACTAAATGTTCCTATATTGTCACCGAGCAGTAAACCAAAATTAAGTATCTCATATTTTATCAACAAGATGCCAGAACAGGCTACCTATAAGCTTATTAGGAAAATGTTATATTCATCTGGGTTAGAGAAAAAGTTAAAAATGAGATAGTTAAATGTAAAATGCATTGGTTCAGACTGTAAGTCAGATTAGGTTCAATGAGACTTACTTCCAAAGAAATGAACATAAGACAGCATTCTTAATTTTGGAACACTAATTGCCCAGAGCTAAAGTAGCTATAAAAAGGAAAGAAAGCTTTCTTTTTAAAAAGTGGAAATTTTGCTTAAGTGATGAAAGCACAATAACTTTCATTAAGAATAATAAGATGAGCAACAATATATTTCTACAAATAATAAAAGAAACAATTATGAAAAGATCAGAAGCAGGAACTAGACAAGGGCAGCTATCCAAAGATGATTAAATTGGAATCCAATCACAGAAAATAACTGCTAGAAAAAAATCTATGGTTTGATGCATTCAAAATATTAGTCACTTCTAGTCACCCATTTCAGTTAATATCACCAGAAGAGAATCAAAAAATGTTACACAATGCTCCAGGGAAGTGAAACCTCTTCTCTAATGGAAAGACTAATATTTCTGGATGTTTCTTTAGGGGAAAAAGTAACTTATGTAAAGATACAGTAGGCATATGCATAAAATTATTAATGAATAAGCAGGAAAAATTCTCTCTAGGGACATAAAGTTTTCCAGTGAAACTGAACAGCTTTAGATTCAGGCTGGGAAAGAAAGAACACTATTCACGTATCAATTCAAGGAATACAAAGCAGCAAGCCATGATGATAACCATGGATTTACAAAGCTCTTTAAACAAATTAACATAAGATTATTTCTGGGTTCAGAAGTAGTAATTATGCATCTCCATACCTCTGGCTAGGGAATTCTGACTGAGGGCCTATATATGGAATTCTCAGAAGCATCTGTCAGACCAATAATGGAAAGAGAATGATGGCCAGTTTGATCTAGTGGTTAAGGCTCCAGGCTAGAAACCAGGAGACTGTGAGTTCTAGTCCCATCTTAGGCATGAAAGCCAGCTGGATGACTTTGGGCCAGTCACTCTCTCTCAGCCCATGACATCACGCTCAGGTGACAAGCCGGTCAGTCAATTTCTGTCATAACCAATGGATCAGTATTTGGTTGATCCGGGAAAAAAAAAAAAGAAGTGGACTGTGCACCTGTGGGAAAAACGTTAGGAAGAAAAAAAAATGATGCACTATGTCTGATCTATTAGATTTTATTTTAATACTGTTAAAATTTGGTTATTAATCATATTTTTATGTTTAAATCTCAAGAAATGGGATTAAGGGGCTGCATCAAAATATATATTTCCTCTTATCACTAACACCACCCATTCTTCTTCCCTCTATCACTTTATCTGTCCAGGGAGTTACAGGACACTCTAGGGTAGATTTGGAGTGCCTACAGGAGTGGAGAGTATAAGAAAATTCTGTTGTATGTGGAATTGTTGTAACAATATTGGAAGTAATCTAATGATACATTTGATAATTTTTAATACCACCTTCCTGGCGAAGGATTTAGAACTATTTACAATAATCAGAAAAAAGTAGCCACAATATCAACAATGTCAGTAATGATGACTGCTTCTATGCATAGTCTATGTCCAAAAGATGTTATTGAAGAAATGTCAGATGAAGAACCAATTTTTCTGACAAGATACGATGGTATCAAAAGTGGATTTACAACTGACAGGCCAAGAGAATGATTTAGAAAAGGATGTT